CCGCACGCGGGGTTGGCGGCCTCGCCTCTGCCTGCCGGCCGGCCGCTACAGCTTCCAGAAGGCTGGCCTAGCTTCCCGCCGCACGCTGTCGTGCGTGCGAGCCGTCTGCATGCCTCTCGCCCCCCCGGGCGCCCCACCCCGTGCTGTCGGCACGCCTTGTCGGGCTCCGCCGTGTGCGGTAACCGCGCGTCCCTCTCTCTCAAGGCTGGAGCGGCTCCGGTGGCCTCGGTGCGAAAGAGCAAGGGATCCAGGACCCCATCAAGGGGGGGGACGTCCGCGACAAGTGGGACCAGTACAAGGGTGTGGGCGTGGCCCTGGACGACCCCTACGAGAACTACCGCAGGAACAAGAGCTACTCCTTCATTGCCCGCATGAAGGCCCGGGACGAGGGCAAGTAGGGGCCGCGCGCCGCGGGCCGGACGGCGACGGTGCCCGTCCTGCCTCCACCTCGGAGCGGCGGCCAGGAAGGATGGACACGGGCCGAGGCCTGGCAAGGGTGCCGCCGCGGTGGGGGGTCCTGGCAGCCGCCGAGGCCACCGGCTCGCTTTCCTTCAGGGACACAAGCCACGCCAGACCCTCCCCCCACACAGGAGTTCTTCGTGCCGCAAGGGGCAGCTTTGTGCGTCCTCCTCAGCCAGTCCGGAGCCTCCCCCGGGCGCACGCCAGAGGGGCCCTGAGTGGGCAGGACAGGGCTGGCCAGACCCAGAGCCAGGCCTCCCGCCTCTCCCGGGCTGCTCAGGGGTGGAGCCAAGGCCGGGCACCACGCCGGCTCAGACTGCACCCGGGGAGGACAGGGGCATTCTGACTTGCATCGCAGTTCCATCAGTTTAGCTTTAGGAGGAGACTGACCTGAGACCATCCTGGTCACCTGAGGCCCAAGGCCCCTACGGCATCCTGGCTTTTAGTTACTTTAGTTGTGTAAGTTGACATTTTTTCCTGGAATGTTAGCCATTTGCTGTTGTCTGAGAAACAAGGTTCTCGCAGGAAAAGCCCGTCTAAGCCATCTTCAGGTCGAAGTGTGTCACGTGCGGCGGCCTGTCCCATCGGGAGGGCGGGGAAGGTGGGGGGCGGGAGGCGCGTGCCCCCTCACCCAACCGGGGGCTAGGCCAGAGGCGCTGCCCCACCTCACGGGTGGCCGCGGGCAGCTCCATGCAGTGCCCTTCCTTTTTACAGAGAATGTGTTTGGAAAATTCTTTTCAATAAGATACAAAACTCCTCTCCAACTTCTCAACCCGATGTGATAAGATATTTGCTTTTGTTCTAGATTTCTGTAGCTGTGAATTGTCTGATTTGGGATAAAATGTAAACGCGTGCTGTTAACGATTTCTTGTGGTTTTATTGTTTCGCCTTCCAATAAAGACCTTTTTTAAGACCCCTTCCCCCTCGTGTGCTTGAATGAGGCAGTGTGTTTGAGCTCTGGGCGCGGGGCAGCAGCTCACCTCGCCAGCTTCCGCAGCAGCCCCGGTGCGGAGGCCCGGCCTGTGTCCCGCCCACGCCCCCGCGGCCTGCTGGGCTTGGTGCCGGACTGGGCCCATCCTGCAAGCCGGGGTCTGGCTCGGCGGACCTGACCCACCCAGGCACACCTGCCCGGGTGTGGAGAACAGGCCGGCGTGTGCCCTCCTTCGGGAGACCCGTGCAGGCCTTGCCTGGTGGCGCTCACAGCTCCTGCTTCGCCTCCTCCAGGGCGTCCTCCATGGTCAGTGGGGTGGGCTTGTGGCGCCTGATGTACTGGAGGGCAGAGAGCAGATGGGCCATCAGCACCGCCAGCCCAGGGTGTTCGGAGAGTCCCAGCGCTGGGAAAGAAGACGAGGCGGCGCCCGTCCTGCGGCTGGCGCGATGGAAGACTACAGGGTGCCACGGACACGCTGGCACTAGGAGAGCCAGGGGCGGGGAAACGAGAGAGGGACACCAGGCAGGCCCCGGGGGCACCCTGTGCGGGGTGAACCTGAGTCGAAGGAAGGAGCGACACAGATGCCCTCTGCAACAGCTGGGGAAGGAGGGAGGGCCTGGGCCGGCAGCGGGGAGCCACGGCGGGCGGCAGGCAGCCAGCACAGCCGGGTTGCCTCAGCCCGGTGGGCTCAGCTGAGGGGCGTCAGACAGGGAGGAGTTGCAGGACGCCAAGGGAGTGCGACGGCACAGTCCAGAACGTGGGACCTGTGGGGCAGACGGCCTGCGTTCGGCGGAAAAGCTGCCAGGACTCGCGCGGGGGGAGGGGGGCAGGGGGTGCGGAGCGCCTGCTGAGCACAGGTTCTCCGAGTGGGCTGCCAGCCAGCGGCACCCCTGGGTGCTTGGGGGGAACGCCCGAGCCCGCCCGCCCGCCCCAGCGGGCCCTGCCGCGCTCCCACAGGCTTCCAAGGGGTTCTTGACACGGCCCAGGGCTGAGAATCCCTCACTGCTCCAGGCTGAGAGACGGAAGACGCCTCCACCCGGCGACTTTATGCTTCCAAGTCGGTTTGGGGGAATACACGTGGAAATATTTCATATGAAAGTTTCACAAATCCCTAGGAAGGCACGTGCGTAGAGTTCAAGGCCATTTCTATAAAGAAATGCACACAGTCCAGCCTGCGCTGTGCACACGTAAGAATCTGAAGTCCCAGGCTGGTCGGGCCATCACTGAGTCACAGAGGCCAGCAGGGTACACCTCTAAGGAGCAGGCACACGGGCTGGGTGCGGTGGCCCACGCCTAAAATCCCAGCACTTTGGGAGGCTGAGGTGAAAGGATCACCTGAGCCCAGGGGTTCGAGACCAGCCTGAGCAGCATGGCAAGACCTCGTCTCTACAAGAAGTCAAGAAATTAGCCGAGCATGGTGGCGCATGCCTGTGGCTCCAGCTCCGTGGAAGGCTGAGGTGGAAGGATGGCCTGAGCCCAACAGGTCGAGGTTGCAGTGGCTGTGAGCATGTCCCTGTGCTCTAGCCTGGGTGGCAGAGGGAGACTCCAAACTCAAAAAAAAGCACACACACAGTCTGTGTCACCAGCACACTTCTCCAGGGAAAAGGGAGGCGCGGGCACCGCCCTGGAGCTCCGCCCGAGGGACCGAGGAGAAAGGCGGCGCCCAGGCACCTCCCAGAGACACCGGGGTGGCCTGGCTCTGTCCCACAAGGCTCCCCCACCAAGACAAAAGGGACATCCGTGGGGTCCCCGGGGTGAGCACTGCAGCCCAGGTCCCCCAGGCCCCTGCCCCCAGGGCATCTTGGCACTGCCCACCCTGCCCGCTCTGGCCCTGCGGCGTCACCTGTCTGGCTTCCTCCAGGCTGTGGTAGTGGAACGAGTCCGCGTCCAGGGAGCCCAGGAGGGAGGCGTGCTGGCGCCGGCTGGCCTCCATGAACTGCTGCGTCAGGATCAGCTGCTGCCTCAGCATGTCATTCAGCGCCAGTGCGGCCGGGCTGTAGGCTGTCAGGGCTGTCCCCCTCCGTGTCACTCGGCGGCTCACGGGGCTCCACCACCCCGCGATGCCGCGCTGCTTTCTGGAAGACTGCACCCTGGGGTGGCGAAGGCCTCACTCACTCCTGCCTGTCTTGGCCCCTTAGTAAATGAACTACTTTCTACCAAGCCGTGTGGCTCTCGAGAGCAGCAGAAAGTCAGTGCTTGGCCCCAGGCGGAAGCCAAGATTTAACCTGAACATCCAACACCACGATGTCTACGCTGGGCATGGTGGCCCATGTCTGTCATTCCAGTTACTCAAGAGGCCAAGGAGGGAAGATCGCATGAGCTCAGAAGTTCAAGACCAGACTGGGCAACATAGCAAGACCCCGTTTCAAAAAATATTAATAAACAAGTCTAGTAAATTTTCCAAATAGGCCAGGCCCAGTGATTAAGCCTATAATCCCAGCACTTTGGGAAGCCGAGGTGAGAGGATTGCCTCTCATGGGTTCAAGACCAGCCTGAGCCCATGGGCTCAAGACCAGCCTGGGCAACTTGAAGAGACCACATTTCCACAATAAATTTAAAAAAATAAAAATAACCGGGCGTGGTAGCCTGTGCCTGTAGTTCCAGTTACTTGGAAGGTTGAGGTGGAAGGATTGCCTGACCCCAGCAGGTCACCACTGGGGTGGCCACGAGCATGCCACTGCACTCCAGCCTGGGTGACAGAATAAGACTCCAACTCAACAACAACAACAAAAATTCTTCAAATAGGTAGAAGAGAATAACTGGAATGTTCCTGGCACAAAGAAAAGATGAACGCTTGAAGTAACAGACATCCCAATTGCCCTGATTTGACCATCACAAATAACATACAGGTATCAAAATACCACATGTACTCCAAAACGTTGTACAACCATTACACACCAATAAAAAAATTTAAGAAATCTAGTGAATTGGCATAAAAACTGCACAGATAAGGCTGGGCATGTTGGCTTACGCATGTAATCGAGCACTTTGGGGACCAAAGTGGGAGGATCACTTGAGCCCAGAACTTCATGACTTCAAGCCCTGGGCAACATAGTGAGATCCCATCTCTATAATTTAAAATGATAATAATATTTATTTTTTAAAAACTGCACAACTGCAGCTGGGCTTGGTGGCTCAGCCTGTAATCCCAGCACTTCGGGAGGCTGAGGTGAGTGGACTGCCTGAGCCCGCAGGTTCAAGACCCACCTGGGCAACTCAGCGAGACCTCATCTCTACAATAAATGAAAAACTAGCCGGGCGTGGTAGCGCGCGCCTATAGTTCCAGCTACTTTTTTTTATTTTTTTGAGTCGGAGTCTCACTCTGTCGCCCAGACTGGAGGGCAGTGGCCGCTCCCGGCCACCGCAGCCTTGACCCACTGGGCTCCG